GGGTGATGTCTGTGTCATTGTGGGCATGGACTGGTTGAGCCGATTCGGCGCGGTTATCGACTGTGAGCGTCACCTGGTGACCATACGAGATCCTAGTGGGGGAGTTCTTTCAGTGTACGGCGAGGGTACACGTTCTGGATCAGCCTTTTGTTCGGGTGCTAGGGCGAGGCAGTGTTTACAGCAGGGCTGTAAGGGTTTTGTGGCATATGTGATGGATTCGCGGGTGATCTCCGAGAGACCGAGTTCAGTGGAGGAGGTTTTGGTGGTGCGTGAGTTTCCAGATGTTTTTCCCGAAGAGTTACCGGGTGTGCCTCCCGTGAGGCAAGTAGAGTTCAGTATTGATTTGGTTCCGGGGGCCGTGCCTATCGCTAAGGTACCTTATCGTCTTGCACCTCCAGAGATGCAAGAGTTCTCCTCGCAGCTTCAGGAGCTGCTGGGGAAGGGGTTTATTCGGCCGAGTAGCTCGCCGTGGGGAGCGCCCATTCTGTTTGTGAAGAAGATGGACGGCTCGCATCGAATGTGTATTGATTACCGAGAATTGAACAAGCTGACGGTCAAGAACCGTTACCCGTTGCCGAGGATCGACGATTTATTCGATCAGTTACAGGGAGCATCTTGGTTCTCCAAGATCGATTTGAGGTCGGGCTATCATCAAGTAAGAGTGCGGGATGAGGACGTCCAGAAGACAACGTTCAGGATGCGATATGGTCATTATGAGTTTGTGGTGATGCCTTTTGGGCTCACCAATGCCCCGGCTGTGTTCATGGATCTCATGAACAGGGTATGCAGGCCGATGTTGGATCGGTCAGTGATTGTATTCATCGATGATATTCTGGTATATTCGAGATCTAGAGAGCAGCATGAGGAGCATTTGAGGGAAGTTCTTGGGGTTTTGAGATCGGAGAAACTTTATGCAAAGTTTTCCAAGTGCGATTTCTGGTTGCGGGAGGTCCAGTTTCTGGGACATCTTGTTAATCAGAAAGGGATATTGGTCGATCCGGCCAAGGTTGAGGCGGTGATGAGTTGGGAGGTGCCAAAGTCACCCTCTGAGATCAGGAGCTTCCTTGGGTTGGCAGGGTACTATCGGAGATTTATCAAGGATTTCTCGAACATCGCGGTGCCACTCACCAGATTGACCCGAAAGGGTGTTGCATTTTCATGGGGTCCCGAGCAGCAGACCTCCTTTGAGATGCTTCGCCAAAGGTTGTGCGAAGCCCTGGTATTAGCTCTTCCGGAAGGAATGGAAGATTTTGTAGTATTTTGTGATGCATCGATTTTAGGTCTGGGAGCGGTACTGATGCAGAAGGGACATGTGATAGCATATGCATCGAGGCAGTTGAAGCCTCATGAGATGAGGTATCCCACGCATGATCTAGAGTTAGGGGTAGTGATGTTCACCCTCAAGATTTGTCATCACTACTTGTATGGGGTTCGTTGTACGATATACACGGACCATAAGAGCTTGAAGTACTTGATGGATCAGCCTAACCTAAATATGCGGCAGAGGAGGTGGTTAGATGTGGTCAAGGATTATGATTGTGAGATCCTGTACCACCCGGGCAAGGCTAATGTGGTAGCTGATGCGTTGAGCCGCAGGGCGGAGAGTACTCCACTGCGAAATGTATGTTTGAGATTGACCGTGATAGCTCCAGTTCTGGATGCCATTCGTGGGGCACAGGCCGAGGCTGTGCAACCGGAGATGCAAAAGAGAGAACGGGTCGTTGGTTTGGTTTCAGAGTTCGTTTCGGATAGTCGAGGGCTTATGACTTTTCAGGGCCGGATTTGGGTACCGTTTGTGGGCGGTACGCGTACTACTTTGATGGAGGAAGCACATAGATCGAAATTTTCGATCCATCCCGGGGCTACGAAAATGTATTTGGATTTGAGGAAAGAGTATTGGTGGCCCTGTATGAAGAGGGACGTCGCATGGTTTGTCGAGAGGTGTTTGACCTGCCGAAGGGTTAAGGCCGAGCACCAGAGACCGCATGGCAAGTTGCAGCCATTGGAGGTTCCCGAGTGGAAGTGGAACAGATCACTATGGATTTCATCACCAAATTGCCGAGGACTCCAGAGGAGTTGATGCAATTTGGGTGATTGTGGATAGGTTGACGAAGAGCGCTCACTTCCTTGCCATCAGTGAGAGTTCTTCGGCGGAGAAGTTGGCGGAGGTTTATGTGAGAGAAGTGGTATCTCGGCATGGGGTGCCGATCTCGATTGTTTCGGACCGTGATGTGCGTTTCACTTCCAGATTCTGGAAGAAATTTCATGAGGAGTTGGGTACTAAACTGCATTTTAGTACCGCATATCATCCCCAGACAGACGGCCAGAGTGAGCGGACGATTCAGACGCTTGAAGACATGCTTCGAGCATGTGTGTTGGATTTCGGGGGTAGCTGGGATGCGTATTTACCCTTGGCGGAGTTTTCCTACAATAACAGCCATCATTCGAGCATCGGTATGCCGCCCTTTGAGCTGTTGTATGGTAGGAGGTGTCGGACTCCCATTTGTTGGGGTGAGTTGGGCAGAGAGTGATGGGCAGTACAAAGATCGTGATTCAGACGACAGAGCAGATACAGCAGGTCAGACAGAGGTTATTGACCGCCCAGAGCCGACAAAAGAGTTATGCGGACAGGCGCCGGTCCGAGCTTGAGTTTCAGGTCGGCGACTTCGTTCTCCTGAAGGTTTCCCCTTGGAAAGGAGTGATTCGGTTCAGGAAGAGGGGCAAGTTGGGGCCCCGGTTTATAGGACCATTTCGTGTGATTGCGAGGGTAGGCCGGGTAGCCTATCGGTTGGAGTTGCCAGCAGAGTTGGGGCAGATCCACGACACTTTTCATGTGTCGCAGTTGAGGAAGTGTATAGCCGATGAATCGGCAGTGGTTCCATTAGAGGATATTCAGGTGGATGCAAGCCTGAATTATGCCGAGAGACCAGTGGCCATCAGAGATCGGAAGATCAAGGTTCTGAGGAATAAGGAGGTACCTCTGGTGTTGGTTCAGTGGCAACACCGGAGGGGATCGGAGATGACCTGGGAGCCAGAGCGTATGATGCAGGAGCAGCATCCGGAGCTGTTTTCAGAGCGAGACTTCGAGGGCGAAGTCTAGTTCTAGTGGGGGAGAGTTGTAACAGCCGGATTTTCAGGTATCTTGTATATTTATGTTTTTTGGTGTTTTGAGAGGGGACTCGGCGAGTTGGAGCTCAGACTCGCCGAGTAGGGTCGCGGATCTGGTCGCGGGATCGCGCCTGGACTCGGCGAGTCCAGGATATGGACTCGGCGAGTCAGCACTGTGTAATGAAACCCTAATTTCTCGGGTTTGGGACCTATTTAAAGGGCCTTATGGCCGTCATTTGTGCTCACCAGTCCCTTGAGTGAAACCCTAATCGAGTGTGAGCGTTTGGAGCAAAGTAGAAGGCCATTATTGATCTTGGAGGTGTCATTTTTGCAAGGAAGGAGAGAACTAGCTAAGGGAAAGCAAGTGGAGCCACTTCTGAGAGTTTGGAGTCCAGAGCATCACTATTGTGGTAATAATTTCGAGTTATCTTCTTCCTTGTTGATGTTTATTTTGATTTAGGGTTTGTTGAACCCTTTTGTGGCAAGATCTAGTGCCCCCTTGGTCCCTTATGTGGTTTAAACCATAGATCTGGACCCTTGGAGGTCCAGAGTGTCCCTTTGCCCAAGCTTTTTGGGAATCAATGGAGGTTTTGGATTGGAATCCTTATGCCTTAGGTCAAAACTCTATTTATGAGCCATGGGGTGTGTTATGGGCACCAAGATAGAAGCTTTACGTGATGAATCAGTCTAGGGAGGCCAGATCTATAGATTGTGGAAGCAGATCTGACCTTAGAAGCAAGTTGGAGTGGTTGCATGGCATGGACTCGCCGAGTCTGTTCATCAGACTCGGCGAGTAGTTTGAAGATTGCCTTGGGTTCGCTCAGTGAGTGGTCCAATCGAGTCATGGGTTGACTCAGTGAGTCAGGGTGAGTTGGAGAGGGACGACAGGTGGACTGAGTCGAACTGGACTCGCCGAGTTGTTCTTGAGACTCGGCGAGTTGAGTCGGGGTGGCCCCGCGATTCTTCCAGATGAAACTCGTCGAGTGAGGGGGGAATACTCGACGTGTAGGAAGGGAATTTTAGAGAGTTGGTGAAAACGTCTAGACTCGCCGAGTCGCCATAGCGCACTCGCCGAGTCCGGTCAAAGTTGACCGTTGACCGTTGACCGTTGACCGAAGTTGACCTGTGTTGACTTCTTAGGGATAGTCAACCTTAGAAGATATAAAGTGTTAACTAGAGACATATGATGTTATAGGAGGATTAGAGCTCGGAGGATCGAGCACGAGGGATTTCCAGGATTCGTGAGATACCGAGATACGCGAGGTGAGTCTTCTCACTATACTTTACCTTGAGTAGGTAACCAGAGTTATGTGATAGAGTATTTGTATGCTATGTATGTTATGTGTTGTACTGCATTATTTCTATGTGATTTATGTGGTGCATGTTTATCAGAGCTAGAACCTGAGGGTTCACAGAGTTTGGGTGCACGGACCCACAGAGTTATAGCCTCGAGTGGCTAATATGTGTTATATGTGGTATTTTGGGGAACTCACTAAGCTTTGTGCTTACAGTGTTTGATGTTATTGTTTCAGGTACTAGTGACGACCGCGGGAAGGCGCCGGCTTGATCTGTACACACACACACACGGAGTTTTTACATTGTGATCTTGGGATTTTGTATTGACTTGAATTGGATAATTAATATGGTTGTGTTATGAATATTAATTGAATTATGTTTTATGAAAATTTGAAAAAATTTGTTTTGAAATTTACGGTGTTACAACTGGTCCATCCAACAAGAATAAGGAGTCAAATTAACAGGTCAAGGGGAGTCCTTCGAAACCTGAGCAAGTAGAGAAGGTTGTTAAAGTTACTCCAACGAAGGTTGTTAAGTTTGATCCTCCATCGAAGAAAATACCAAAGACTGTTGTTATTGAATCTTCTTCTTCTGCGATGGAGGTCATGCCTTCGAAATCTGGGGTTCTGAAATTTTTAAAGAAGATGGCTCACAGACCTCGTTATTCTCCTGAGATGTCTAGTAGTTCTTCTCCCAAATCTGTTTTTCAGATCACTCGTAAGCCCCAAATTATTCACAAAGGTGTTGTGATTCGAGAAATTCCAACTCCTGTCACTCCAACATCCAAAAAGCGAAGGGCTAAAGACATGGCTAAAAATATTACAAAGAAGAAAAAGGGAGTGATAGTTGAAGATGAAGACGAAGTTGTACTGGATTCACCTATTCATGATACGATTGTTTCATCACCAAAGAGAGATTCTCTAATTCATCAAGTGATCCATCGAAAACATCTACTCCTGAGAAGACTACTGTCATACCACCCGGAGTGTCGAATACCGAATTAGTTACTAAGGAGGTTCGCACTTCAGGCATCCCTGTGAACATATCTAATATGGACACAAATGTCAGTATGGGTGAAGGATTGCTGACTACTGAAGCTCAAGGTAACCCTTCGATTGTTATTTCCTTAACTTTTGAAACTTCTACCATATCATCCAATGTTTCTTTACCACCATTTATCACTACTGTTTCCACCACTTTACCACCTAATACTCATTCTCCAACCTTTGATCAAATCCTTAAACAACCTATTACTTCTCTTTTCCATCCCAATCTACTGATCCTAAAATAGTTAATGATGATGCCACCACTGAAGAAGGTAAGTTTACGGGTACATTTGTTGACCTTGAGTTTGATCCGTAGGAAGAAAACATACCAGATCACATGTTAATTTTTGGAAAACAGTTCAAAATTCTTAACAGAAAGTTGAACTCATTATTACAACATTAGGCGGATGGAGGGGGTCGTCATTCGATTTCAAAAATAGAAGTGGATGTAATGCTCAAGGCTCAAGAGCATAGGTTAAAGGATGAATTAGAACGTATCGACAGACACAATGAGAACCAAGTTAAGGCTCAATCATCTTCTTTTAATCTGGAACTAAAAGAATTGAAAGCTGTGTCGAAAGAAAAACATATTTTATATGTTCAAGTTGTTAAGAAAGTTTGAGAAGATGTGAATCTCAAACTGGAGGAATTAGGGGTTGATATCGCATAGGAAGTTGATCCGTAGGAAGAAAACATACCAGATCACATGTTAATGTTTGGAAAACAGTTCAAAACTCTTAACAGAAAGTTGAACTCATTATTACAACTTTAGGCGGATGCAGGGGGTCGTCATTCGATTTCAAAAATAGAAGTGGATGTAATGCTCAAGGCTCAAGAGCATAGGTTAAAGGATGAATTGGAACGTTTCGACAGACACAATGAGAACCAAGTTAAGGCTCAATAGTCTTCTTTTAATCTGGAACTAAAAGAATTGAAAGCTGGTCGAAAGAAAAACATATTTTATATGTTCAAGTTGTTAAGAAAGTTTGAGAAGATGTGAATCTCAAACTGGAGGAATTAGGGGTTGATATCGCATAGGAAGTTGTTGCTATATCTCATGATTTTTATACTCTTCACACAAAAGTAGATATCATCGTAGTTGCAGTTACAAATGTTGTCAAGTGGTATCAATATTTAATTTCTAAGGTTGATAAAATCATAGAGATTGATTCACAGAGTTTTTCTAAGGTTGAAGATTCGTTGCTCAATCTTAAGGATTTAGTCTCGAAGATTGGTTCATCATCTTCACTGCTTAAACCTCAGTCTTTATCCCAATGGTTTGATTCTTTGGAGTCCACACTCAAAGCTGAATTGGCTCCCTTAGCAAATTTGTTGAATTTGATGCCAACGAATGCCACGCCTGTTCAAACATGGGTGCAAGGGGGATAAGGTATTGGTTTTGGCATTGGGGAAGTTCGAAGGGGAGCATGGGAGGCAGTGGATCTTCGAAAGGAGATGAAGATGAAAAGGTTGTTGGAAAGGTGATAACTACTCAACTTCACACCTCATTACCAAATATTTCAATGATTACAATACCAACAACAACAACAACAACAATGAAACCAATAGCAAAAGGAGTTGTGATTGGATCTGCTGAGGGAGGGTCAAGTTCTTCGAAACCACCTCCTTCTACTGAAGAAATGCAGAATATAGGAAATGGTATTTGTAAAGAGCCTTCAAAAAATAGAAGAAAGCTGCTATCAAAAAAGAAATGAAGAAACAAAGACAAATCTAGAGCATTCTTAGACAAAGGGCAAATGATTCTCGTGGTCTCAACAAAGGTGATCCTACGAAGTGCTATACTTATGAATACATTAAAGCTTTGGTTGTGATAGGAGAGATGCATGATTTTGAAAAAGTCCCCATGAAGAGCTATAATTCAAAGAACACTGATTTCAAGCAGTTGGACTTTCCTATCAATCACATGATGTTTGTGGATGAGCAGTTTGAGGTTGTAGAGAAATACAAAGATAAAATAGAGTTCAAATGCATGAAGTTTAGTTTCCATGCAGTGTTGGGAAAAGGGGAAGAGGAAGTGTGGTCTCTTATCAAGATAGTCTGTATTCTCAACATATCTAAGGATGTTTTGTTTTAGGGTATGTTTCAGAACTATATATATATATATATATATATATATATATATATATATATATATATATAATATATATATATATATATATATATATATCATGCAGTCCGAGCTAACAATGTACCATTTGACGTCTCAGTTGCGGACTTCCCAATAATGAACCTTCATGATCTGTTGTGTGTTGCGAAAATATTGAAAAGTGTTGATCTCTCGAAGCTACAAGTGACAAACAAAGAAGACTTCTTACTTGGATTCACACACTTGAAGGTATTCATTGATGGTTATTATGGTTCATTGGCATTGACAGATGTTGAGTTAGCTCAAGCATTAGGAAAATAGATCTCTGTTCCACAATCGATGTTGAAAAGTTAGGAAAGCTTGAACGACTACGAAGATGGAGTGATTTTATGAAGCCACTTGGAATAGTGTTTGTTGGATAAAATAAGAAGGGAGACAACACTAAATTATTGTTCCAAGTGTGTAATGTTGAGAGGTACACAACTTCACGTTATACAAATCCCATGGTGCGAATGAATAGTTGTGCAAAGAATAATGATAATGAAAAGGCTGAGATTCGAAAAGTGATCAATTGGTATGTTGAGATATGAAGGGTCATTCACCAAGCTACTTTGATGCTGACGACTTAGATTTGACATTTCTCACAAAGGGGTCGAACATTTTTGTGAGATGTCTTTAGAATCAGTGTAACCTCATCTTGTAACCTCGTGTATTCACAAAAAGCAATATCTTGAGCCAACCGAATTATATTTAGAATCAGTGTTCTAAATCTTTTCTTTTTCTGATTTCATATACATACTCAATTCAATCACCACTTCAGCTTGTGTAGATTGCAGCAACCTCTCCTATTGGACTTTGAGATACACCTAACTTCTTTTGTTGTTCATCTTGACTCAAAAGATGATATACATTGTTAAGTGTGGGTAGAGGATCCATACTCAGAATTTGTGTTTATAGGGTTCCATAATCTTCATTAAGACCCATCAGAAATTCGTATAGACGCTACTTTTCTCGTGATCTTGCAATCTCTTTCGTGATTTCACACTTGCAACCTTGGTAGGTGCAGGATAATAGCATACTAATTGATTGAACTTCATCCTCGACCTCTCTCAACTTTGTGTAATAAGATAAGATTGTCATGTTTTCTTGGCGGATTATGGTTATCATTCTTTTTAATTCATATGATCTTGGAGCATCTTCTCTTCCAAACCTTTCTGCAAGGTCCATCCAAATGTCACGAGTAGTAACAACATACTTGACGTTGCTTTTAATCTCCTTATCCATGGCGCTAACGAGACAATCTCTTACCATAGCATTACATCTTTTCCAATTCATCAAGCCAATGGATCCTTCTTCAAGCATGGGCATAGAGTTGTCAATGAAGCCAAATTTGCTCTTGGCGCACAAGGAATTCATCATCTTATTCTTCCAATCATTGTAATTTCCATTATGAAGAAGATTTTCTCCAACAAAATTCAATCCAGGATGGTCAGAACAGATGAGGAAATAAGGGGATGATACATCGATGGTTTTACTCGGTGGTGGGCGGCATCGATCCATAACCAACAGTCGTTTTTTTAAACAAAGCTAGGTTTGAATTCCTTAACTTTGCTCTGATACGATAATAAATTTGAAGAACGGAGAAAATGTATCTTCTTATTATTGATCAAAAAATAATACAGAGATGTATTTATAAACAAGGATTATAACAGACTCCTAAAAACTTAGAAACAAGATAACTTCTTAAATAAGGATAAAACCAAATCAAAGATAAATATAATCAATAAATGAAGATAAGGATAATTATGATCCTTATTATTATTATTACTAAGTGTGAAACTCATGTAATACATGAGTTTTTTTTAAATAATATATTTTGTTAAGCAATACATGTTTAATAATTTATAAAACTAAATTTGAAAAAATATCAATATTAGCCGTGAATGAACCAATTTTTGCATGATTTCTGCAAATTATCGTGAATTTAAAAGGGATTGGCTGAAAATTATTTTTTCAATTATAAAAGTTGATTTGAATTTAAATTGAATTTGATACATTGAATGACAAATTACATGAGAATTTATGGATACGTTTAAGTTTTCTTTATTTTCTTTATTATATTTTTAGATTAGATTTTTTTATAATTTAATGATAAAACAAAAAAACCAATAATTTGCCAAATGGATTTAAATGGAATTGAAAAAATTAAAGAAATTTCATGTAACATATTGAATTAGGTGATGACATATGACAAAAAAATCTTTATTTATTAAGTAAAATTATTATTATTATTATTATTATTATTATTATTATTATTATTTATAAAGTTGAAAACACGACATTACAGTTTGGCTTAAAATCATCAGTTTGTAATAATTTTGTTCTGAGAATAGTATCATGTTTGAAGTATTTTTCAGATTTTATGTTGTATGTTGTTATCATTCGTTGCAATTTTTTGTCATCCATATGATACATGCATTCAACAACATAACCAAACACTATTTTCCATCTAAAACCAAATTCATTCATGTCTTTGAATCCATCAACATCAACAAATACTTCCTTTAAAACCATTCCACATAAAATAAATACATCGTTGGAGTTTTCACGCAGTCTTCTTCTTGTTGCTTCGTTTGTTATCATTTTGTTTCAAAATAAAATTAAAAGAAATATTAAAAAAAGAAAAAACTAGAAAAATGAGATATGGATTTTTTTTTTTGAAAAAGCAAATAAATACTAATTTATTTCTAAATTATTCCACGTATATATACTACTATATATACTACTAAACTTGAACCATCGACCTTAAAGAAAAAAAATACAAAATTGGATACTGCTGGATTAGAAAGTCTTTATTAAATAAAACATGAATGTAAAATAAAAATACATATACAACTTTAAAAGAAAATATGTGCATAAATGCACAAAAATAGTTTGTTGAGAAAAAAAAAAACTGAAAGTGATATTGTTGATATTACTGAATAGTTGAGTGAGAGATTAATGTTGTGTTTGGCGCACCATAGCTAGCTGATAAGTTATCTTATTTTTTAAGTTTTTTTATGTTGTCGTGTTTGGTAAGCTAAAAAGTAGCTTATAAGGTAGTTTTTTGAAAAGCTACTTAAGCTAGCTTTTTAGGAGTCTTTTTTTTTTTTTTTTTTTTTTTTTTTTTTTTTTAAATTTCCAAATACCCGTTTATTAATTATAGAATCACATATTCTTAAATGTTCTTTTATGTAATTTTATATATTTCAGCTAAATTTACTAAACGTAATTTTTTATCAGCTAGCTTTTCAGCTAACAGTTATCTTTTCAGCTAGTACACCAAACATAACCTAAGAGCATCTCCAACCCACTCTCATTCTCTATTTTTTCTCCCATTTTGTCTTGCATTCTTCTCTAACCCTCCCCCCCTTTATTCCTCCATTTTAGGGGATATGAATAGTATTACACCAAATATGGTGTTATACTATTTATTTCTCTCAAAATAGGGATGAACTTTACGTTGTCGGTTTTAGTTCCTTTATTTATATATTTATACATTTATAGTTCATTTTTACATACTAATTCTAATTTAAATATAATATTTAATACTTATAATATTTTGTTATATATTAAATTATATTAATTAATTATAAATATAAAGTTTGTTTTTTTGTTCATCAGATTCATATAAAAATTTAAATACATATTGAAATTTTAAAAAACGATAACGCATTTTACAAAAACTTATAATTAAAAGTGTGTATGTCTAATATTTATATAAATGTATGTATAATATTTATTTAAATGTGTGCATTTGTAATATTTTTTATAAACACATGTATAAAATTTATTTATAAATATAATCTTTTGTACTTAATATTAATATAATAAAAAAATATAGATTATATATTTGTTAAAACTAAATTATTAGAAGGATGTGTTTGACAATCTATGTAAATTGAAATAATGAAATATACTAAAATACATTTTTTTGAGGTAAAAATAAGATAAAAATCAAATAAAATTGAAGATGAATATTTTCCAAATAACGTAAGGAAATGAGAAACTGATATTTGAATAATTATATAATATTTTCCAAATAACGTAAGGAAATGATATTGTCGGTGGGGATAGGAGAGTCCCATGTGGAGCTTGGGATCCGAGGCAAAGCCCCTTGTAATACACACCATTTATTTCCTACTTTACAACTCCTACTTCTCATTTCAATTATTTATTCAAAACCTTCATCATCATCATCATCTTATTCTTTGAATTTAAACATTCAAAAATATAGAATTTTTAACATTCTTGTATTCGATCCAAAGGCCAAATACAAAATATTTCATTATTGATTTAAATATATTTATAGTGATTAAGTTATTAGAACTCTCCTAACCTCTTGAAAGTTCTGTTTCTTGTGTCGTTTTTGAGATTATTGCATAAAATAATCGTAAACAATATATATACGTTATTATGTGCATCTTTGACTGACCCGTACATCATCAAATTAAGAATATTAATCATAAATGTTTGATATTTTGTATTTTGTCATATCGGTATATAAGTTTTGAAAGTTTTTACCATTTAGCTTTAAAAAAAACTGTAAGGGAAAATCGAATGCAGTGGCTAACAACTTTTGGCTTTTAATTAATATAAAAATCTTTAAATCCAAAATCAGCTTCTTAACAAAAAAAAAAAAAAAGCTATTTTATATTTTTGCAATTTGATTTAATTACTCTTTCTTTTAAATCATTTGTGTGTTTTATATCTTCTTTTATTAAATTTATATGTTCTAAAAAAATTTAATTATTTTTACCTAACACTCATATACAAATAAAACTACAATACAAACTTACGGTTTCATTTTACCAAATACAATTCTTATTTATTTATCAATATAAGACATATTACCACATCTAAAAGTGTCAACATCATCATTTTAGTTATAATTTGGTATTATAACACTAATAGTGAAAATAAATAACACTAAATAATATGGGATAACATATACTATTTTCTATTTCTATTTTTATTTGTTTGGATGTTTCTAATTTCTATTATTCTAACTTGTTTTATTTTTTTATTTTACTTCGTATATTTCTAATTTGTTTTATTTTTTTATTTATGTCATATATCTATTAAAAAAAACATATAAATTAATAAAACATAATTTCATTAGATAGTAAATTAAAAATACCATACAAACTTAAAAAAAAAACATTAAACAATAAACACACGATAATCCTAATAATTAAAAAAAACACCGATAAATATTCGTCGTTCAATTATTTGCTCTCGATATTTACATTCATCCTCCGTATCACTTCAACTCGTCTCGGTGGTAAATTTTCTTCGTTTGTCGTAAGAATTGTCAAATCCTTCGATATGCGATTTTGTTCGGCTTTTTGACGAAGGAAATCCAAATGCTCCCGTTGCAATTCATATCTTTTATTTGCGATTTCCGTGTGGGCGTTGATTTTTTTTTTTCATTTCCTCGTGTTCTCGAAGCCGACTTTCATTCTCCTCTGCATGTTGTTGAGCGTGTTGCGCTTTGTCGCGCCCTATCGGTCGTCGTGGCGGAGAAATTTCATCGATGTTGTCAAATTCGTCCGGTATCTCATCGTTGTCCGCGTTAAGGTCGATGTTTGTGTGTTCGTCGGAAATGTCAACCGAACCCGAACCACGGGATCTCTTTGATTATTGTTCCGATGATGTTGGTGTTTTCATCCATTTTGGATTTTTCCTTACGATCTCTCAAACTTTTTCGTACTTAAATACGTGACCTATTTGGGAGTTTAGAAGGTTCATGTATCCCTCGTATCCCGCAAAACCTAATGGAGTTGATGTATTTGTGTTCGGAGGAGGAGTATTAGAGTTTTGATCCATAGTGGTTTTTTGTGTTTTGAATTATAAAAGAAATATAGATAGATATAAAGAAATATAAGTGTAGAATGAGGTATATATGTATTCATTTAGTTTTAAAAAAAATTAATTAGTATTTTTTTTTTTGAATTTACCGATTTTAAAACGGTAATATTACCGTTTTTCAACGGGTGTGAAAGTGAAACATGTCGAAAAATTATACGTTAACATCCGTTATCATGGTAACGCGTCGTCGTGTAACGCCTCATAACGGAGGACTCGGGCGGTGTTCCGGCGTTATGAGACCGTTATGGGCGCTGTCACCTCAATGTAACCGTTACGTATGATGTTGCCTATACCAAAATCAACTTCTTAACAAAAAACTATTTCATACTTTTTCAAATTGATTTAATTACTCTTTCTTTTAAATCATTTGTGTGTTTTATATCTTCTTTTATTAATTTTATATGTTTTAAAAAAGTTTTATTTATTTTTACCTAGCACTCATATACAAATAAAACCACAATTCAATCGTTTTATCAAATACAAATCTTATTTCTTTATCACTATAACACTTGTATAACATACATAATTAGAATAATTGCATTTACTTTATTTTATTTTTTTTATCTTTTTAAACAACAAATATACTAAACCCTCCTTTCGCAAATACAAATATACCAAATATAATAAGAAATTTTAATACTCATAATGACGTCACCACTTCACCGCTCCCTTTCCTCTTTTTAATCCAAAGTCTCACTGACACACCTCATTCTTTGTCTCTTCATCTCTCTCACAGATCGATTCTTCCTTCGCTGCCATGGCGCCTGAGAAGGTACTCATTCGATATTTCAATTCCCTCTCATATTATCAATTACGTTTCATCTGCATTCCGAAGCCATTGTTGTTTTTTATCTTTTCAATCTAGCTTCTCATGAGAAAATCTTCCTGTTAAATAAGCATTTTAAGAATTGAAATGAGCTAATATACTCAAGAACTAATGCCGATTAAATCTGTTCGACATAACGATACAGGTGACGGAAATGGTGCTGAATGTCGATCTCAAATGCTCCGGCTGCTACAAGAAAGTGAAGAAGGTTATCTGTAAAATCCCCCGTGAGTTTTTCTTCATCTTTTACATAAATCTATCTTTTAGTAATTGAATTCCGCTTTTGTCTATCTTTATAAAAGTATCGAATCCTTAGAATCTAAAAATTCTAAATCAATTCGATGTATGATTATATATTCATGATTCATGGTAGATGTATATATAATTAAATTAACTTTTCATTATTTTTTTCCCCTCATTATTAGAAATAAGGGACCAGGTCTTTGATGTGGACAAGAACAAGGTCAAATTAATCGTGGTGTGTTGTAGCCCTGAAGCAATCCGAGACAAGCTTTGTTACAAAGGTGGAGGTGCGATTCAGAGCATAGAAATCGTCGAGAAGTCGGAAAAGCCTAAAGAAACGGAAAAAGCTAAACCCGCCGCCGTCGCCGATAAGCCAAAAGAGGCTGAGAAGGCGAAGCCACCGGCTGACAAACCAAAAGATGCCAAACCAGCTGCCGACAAGCCTGCCGGAAAACCCAAGGAAGCCGAGAAACCCAAAGCTGCTGACAAGCCAAAGGATCAACAGGAGAAACCCAAAGCCGCTGACAAACCAAAGGATGCAGGAAAGCCACCGGAGGCCAAACCTAAGGATGCAGGGAAACCACCGGAGGCGAAACCCAAGGACGCAGGGAAGCCACCGGAGGCTAAACCTAAGGATGGAGGGAAGCCACCGGAGGGGAAACCTAAGGAGGCGGAGAAGCCAAAACAAGAAGCTCCGAAGAAAGTAGATTTTGCTCCGAACCCGGAGGTGGCGAAGATGGTGTATGAACCAGTGCATGGCTATCCACAGATGTACCCACAATCAGCTTACCCTCCTATGGTGGGATACGGGCAGTACTACGATCAAGGTTACGGCGGTGCTCCGTTTCAGCATGGCTACGGGATGCCAATAGCACCACCACCGCCGCCGCCTAGTTACGGTGGGTTTGGATACGACCATGGAGGGTATAACAATGGGTATAACGGGAACAGGAGTCATTATTCAAGTAATGATTATGGAGGCGAAGAGGAAGGAGAAGGTTGCTCGATAATGTGAAAATGGTGGCGGGTGAGGTGGTGGGTGGTGGGTGGTGGTCAATTTCAAGTGAAATAAATAATCCCGATAAAGATAATCAAGACACGATGAATAAGTAAGTTTTAGATAATCTTCCATGTGAGAAATCTTAAAAAGATGGCAAGTAATGAATCTTTCTGTACATCGTAAAGACGTTATTATTATTTTTTTTTTCTTTTTGTATTGATAAAGACATGATAGAAATGAAATAAGTTTTTATTTGTAAATATGGCATTATTAGCGAAGGATCGAGAAAGAGATGGGTGGATTTCATTAGACTCCAAAAAGTCACCAACTTGTATGATTAACGAGGGAAACAGGACCAATGATATGAATCCATCACCAACTTGTATAATTAACGAGAGAAACAGGAGCAATGACAATATGACATGGATCCATGATCATGTGGGACAATGTCCAATTGGAATGACCCTACATTACAAAACTGGTTTTCAACAATTGGGGTATTTGCCTTTTGCTAGGGTATTATTATTGTTAAATTCAACTTGGGTATTTATTGCCTTTTGTTTGTTAGGGCATTCTTGATATCGAAATCATATTATTGAATCAAAATAATATAATAGAAACCGATTTCGATGAATAAATATCCGTATATTATTATTATTAAATCATAATCATAAATAATATAATAGAAACTGAAATCATATTGTGTGAAGGTTTTCCTCAACAAATATTTGTTGAGATTGCTAATATCATTATTTTTGAAGTTAATTTGAGAATTTATTTTACCGAATTTCTAGTTATCTTAATAATGGGTGTAGAACCATAACCACAATCGTTACTTGCAGTTAGTTGAGAATCGTATATGTGTTGTTATGTTGGGGACCCTCACGGATTTATGTAGGAGTGGAAAATAAGGTTTTCATTTAACTTCAATCAACTTTATTGATTATAAAGTGCGCCCACCATATACATTATACTTTTTAGCTTATTAAATAACAATATAAAATGATAATATATATATTTTTTTAGCTTTTTATATGAAATTGAATACGCATACGTCCCATGTTTCCAAGAATATATATGGTTATATTTAGGGTGTTTGTTTCAAATGGATCAGCAGCGTCTGATTAAATAAATTCCAATTGATTTTCGTTATTAATATATTTGTTTGGTTGAATCGGTTCATAAAATTTGATCTTTTCGAATCTGGATATTCCAAGAAATATCAAAATATATGTTTTTACCATTAACAAGTTTGAATTGTAAAACTTAAATGCATAAAAATACGAAGGGCTTAATGCTTTTTATTTGGATCAAACCTTCTAATATAATGAAAAATAAAGTTCTAATAGTTTAAAAATTATTCAAAAGATTATATATTAAAAGGGAAGTGATTCGTACACAACAGTTTTTATCCGTACACAACATTTTATGCTTAATAGAGTTATACAATACAACAATTTAAAGCACAATTTGTTGTGTATGGAAAAATTTTGTTGTGTACGAATCAGCTCCCATATTAAAATTTTATAAACAATAAAACTTGAAATAGTTATTCCATATTTTTGTAATATACGAGTGTTATTTTAGTACTCAAGACCTATTCGAGCTCTAAAATCGACTCAAATTAATCCAAAAATCTATATATCTAAACCATATTATTTAATCCAAATTGTATAACATATAGATAGAGAATGCACACAGTTAATCAGATCGAGATGGGTTTGAAGGCGGTTTGCACAAGGAAAGTCAAAAAACATGATCTAAGAAAGGAGAAGCTTTTTCAACGGTTTGGCTTTATTAGGCAAATGCATACGCAACAGATTCCCATCTTCATTGCTTTTTGGTAAAATATAGGACTTGTTACTGTATATCTTTATCGTAACCTTGTTTGTAGTGTTGAAATCAATTATAATAATAATCCTCCTCCCTAATAAATGAAAATAGTTTTGCTACATGTGATTTTTTTATTAACTTGGACACATGTTATTTTTGAATAAATGTTTTTTTCATATGTTATTTTCTCATTGTTTATCTTTTTTAATTAACACATCATATTTACACTTCAATTAATAATTATTTTATTTAAAACTAACCATTAAATTATAATATTACAACTCATGTACTATTAAATATGTTTCCTTTTAAATTCAAATTTTAAATTTTAAATTTCAAATTTCAAATTGAACCTTCATATTTAATTTTTTTTTGTTTTATCCAACCCGTATAACATACGGGTCACACAACTAGTGTTGTTACAAAATATAATCAAATACCAATATTAATTATAAAGTAAAAAAATATATAAGAGTTGAGATAACTTTTATTCTAATACTCGTGATAAAATCATTAATTTTTTAATACATACGGCTCAATATTTATACTACCAAAATAAAATGAAAGATAAACTATAATATGAATACATATTATGATGGTGCATTATTATATTCACAAAACACATTGAAATGGTTGTTAGTAATGTTAAATAATGATGACGAGTTATAAGAGAAATAGAGAATCCAATAGTCATTTACAAACTAATATTTCATAACACCTCCTTTGAATGACGATTGTATTATGCCTCGTTAAAACTTTAATAGGTAAAATCATATGGAAAAAACCATTTTATTAAAAAAAAGTACATGATTAATAATACATATTGGGAAAAATTGTCTCGTTAAAAATCTTGCTAGGAAAACCTAGTGAAGAAAACATAACTAAGGAAAAGAGTATAATATGTTTCCAACTCCCCATGATCATTATATCATTTGATTTCCTTAAAGCACCACATTCCAATGTTTCGTACCATGCTTTCAAATTTGGATGTAGGAAGCGTTTTAGTTAACAAATCTGCAAAGTTATTACTTGATTGAATTTTTTGGATGTTGATGTCACTCTTTTTGAAGATCATGAGTGAAAAAAATTTGGTGATATTTGTTTGGTTTTTTTCTCCTTTGATAAACCCTTCCTTGAATTGGGTTATACAAGCCGTATTATCTTCATATAGTATCGTTAGAATGTTCCTGTTAGAAGTTAGACCACAATTCTCACGAATGTGATGAGTTAAATTTCTTAACCAAGTACATTCACGGTTTGCCTCATAAATTGTTATAATCTCTACATGGTTAGAAGAAGCAACAACTAAAGTTTGTTTAACACAACGCCAAGAAATTGTAGTACCTCCACAAGTGAATAAATAACCCGTTTGGGACCAAACTTTGTATGGATCAGACAAATATCCAACATCTACATTACCAATTAACTTCACATTTGATGAATTTGAGTAGTATAAGCCCATATCAATTGTACCTCGAAGATATCGAAGAATGTGTTTGACTCCATTCTAGCATCTTCTTGTTGGGTAAGAACTATATCTTGCTAATAAGTTTACAAACAAAAGATATATCAGATCTCGTATTATTAGCATGATACATTAGTGAACCAATAACACTTAGGTGTTGTTTGTTTTTTTTAAGTCAAAATATATGCAGTCTGCGGACCACATCTGCAAGCCTCTGCGGCAGAAGAGGTGGACCAAATGTCTACAGTCTGCAATAAGAAGACTGTTTGTTTTTAACGTCTGCGGCTCTTTAAATAAATTAACTTTTTTCAAACTTAATTTCATATCATAAACATTAAAAATGCATTTTCAGCAAAAAAAAAAAAATGCACGGTGGCCCATGTTTTTTTTAGGTTAAAATGAGGTCTGAAGACCTTTGAAGACGGTGGGACATGTCCGCACCAGGAAGACATCGCGCAGACGTTTTTTGATTTGCGTACTTCCAAAAAACAAATACTCTGCGAGAGCATATGTCTGCGCGTTGTCTGCGTGGCGCATACAAAAGTGGTTGCGCAGATCTTCACAAAAAAAAAAAAAACAGTCCTTAACACATGGCACTTCGGAACCAAGAAGTTTTTCATGTTTTTCTTAAGGCCGAAATTAATCCTTTTTGGCATCTAAATGCCTTACTACCATTGGGTTACTCAATGGATGTGAGTTATCCATATAATACCTTTTAAGCACCTTTTCTAGATAACCAGATTGCTATACAAAAACTTCATTTTTGGTGTGCTCAATTTGAAGACTCAAACAAAATTTCGTTTTACCAAGATCTTTCATTTTAAATTTTCCTTTCAAACAAGAAGTGACATTTTTCAATTCTCTAGGAGTTCCAATTATCTTTAAATCATCTACGTAAACAGCAATTATCACAAATTCTGATACAGATCTTTTTATGAATACACATGGGCTTAATGAATCGTTTTTATAGCCCTCTTTCAATAGAAATGTACTTAAACAATTGAACCACATAAACTAGATTGTTTCAATCCATACAAAGATTTATTTAATTTTATCGAATATACTTCACGAGAATTAGGAGTTATTGCTTCTAGTACCTTAAACCCTTCTAGGATTTTCATATAAATATCATTCTCAAGTGAACCATATAAATAGGCGGTAACTACATCCATCAGATGTATCTCCAGTTTTTCATGTGCTATCAAACTTATTAGATAACGGAATTTAATTGCATCAACCACAAGAGAGTATGTTTATTCATAGTCAATTCCAGGCTTTTAGGTAAAACCTTATGCAACAAGTCTTGCTTTATATCTTTAAACTTCACTTTTCTTGTTTCTTTTGCACACAAATACTCATTTATGTCCTACTAGTCTTAGGCCCCATTTGTTTACCTCTTAATTGAAAATTTAAGATGTAACCTCTTAAAAATTTAGATGTAACTCATTTGGTAACCTCTTAAACAATACATTTAAATTGGCTAAAAGGCTCTTAATTTTTTATATTTGTATCCATGTCTGGAAAAAAAAAGACGTAACTACCCTAATTCACGTCTTTCTTTTCTTCTCATTAGCACGCCTCTACCCTTTTTTTTCTCATCGATGCACACTGCCAAATCCTCCATCACCATCTGTTGAAGCTTGGTTCCTCCTATCCATCTCTGTCGCTGGTGTCGTCCCCGTTCCTCCCAGCCATCGCCTTCGTCGTCACTTCCGGCTACTGCTCCACCCCTGCATCCCTGATGTTGCATCTCCGACGTCAAAGGACCAATGTCGGCGTCATATAGGTCGCCACACACCTCTGTCGTTGAGCACCTACGTCATACAACACTTCGCTCAACCGCAACACACCAAATCTTCTGAAATCGGTATTTTTCTTTATAATCTCATGTTTTCTTTTGATTTTCTTGCTAAAACCGGTGAAATGTCCTTGAAATCGGTTGTAAAACATGTTGAAATGCTTGAATTCGGTTCTAAAAAATTGTTGAATTTATGGTTATGTTGCTGAAATTATTTATTTGGTTTGAAATATGGTTTGATTTTGATGAGATATTGTTGATTTTGGTTTGATTTTGATGAAATGTTGCTGATTTTGGTTTTATTTTGTTAGAAGTAGAAGTTGAACATATAACCGATCCTTGTGGTCCTTCAATTGTTGATAAGGATCTTGAATCCATTGTTTGGTGAATTTAGGGTTACATAATGTCGATTGTGGTTTATCAGCTATGGCATCTTTGCCGTATTTATTTTACTTGTATATGAACCATTTGATGAAATGGATGAATGAAATTGTTTCAACTTATGATTTATTTAAATTTCTTG